GTAGCACAGACAGTAGATAGAAAATAGATGGGGGGAGGGTAAGAATAGTAGGGAAGATACAGAATCTAAAGAACTTGAGACACGTGTTCATGAACTAAAGGGGGGGAATGGTGGGAGAGGGGTGTGTAGGGTGGAGGGGAAAGGAGGGGGGAATAGAACAAAGGTAATGGCATAATCAATAAAAAATGTAAAAAAAAAAAAGAAAAAAGAATAAATATTAAGCCATCAAGTCTGTGGTACTTGTTATGGGAGTCTTAGCAAACTAATATTATATATATATATATATATATATATATATATATATATATATATATATTAAAGATTTTATTTATTTATCTTTAGAGGGGAAGTGAAGGAGAGAGGGAGAGAAACATCAATGTACGGTTGCCTCTCATGCGTACGTCCCCTGCTGGGAACTAGCCTGCAACCCAGGCATGTGCCCTGACTGGGAATTGAACCATGATTCTTTGGTTCACAGGCCCACGCTCAATCCACTGAGCTACACCAGCCAGGGCAACTAATATTATATTGTCAATATATTATAGTTGTCCCATTTTCCTCCCTTTATTCCCCTCCACCCTGCATATCCTCTCCCACCCGCAGTTCCCCCACCCCTTAGTTCATGTCCATGGGTCATACATATAAGTTCTTTGGCTTATACATTTTCCATACTATTTTTAACCTCCCCCGTCTATTTTCTACCTACCATTTATGCTACTTATTCCCTGTATCTTTTCCCTCACTCCCTCCTTCCCCTTCCTTGCTGATAACCCTCCATGTGATCTCCACTTCTGTGATTCTGTTCTTGTTCTAGTTGTTTGCTTACTTAGTTTTTGTTTTTGTTTTATGTTCGGTTGTTGATAGTTGTGATTTTTTATTGTCATTTTACTGTTCATATTTTTTATCTTCTTTTTCTTAGATAAGTCCCTCTAACATTTCATATAAGGGCTTGGTGATGATGAACTCCTTTAACTTGACCTTATCTAGGAAGCACTTTATCTGCACTTCCATTAGAAATGACAGCTTTGCTGGAAAGAATAATCTTGGATGTAGGTCCTTGCCTTTGATTACTTTGAATACTTCTTTCCAGCCCCTTCTTGCCAGTAAGGTTTCTTTTGAGAAATGAGCAGATAGTCTTATGGGAACAGTTTATAGGTAACTGTCTCCTTTTCTCTCGTTGCTTTTAGGATTCTCTCTTTATCTTTAATCTTGGGTAACTTAATGATTATGTGCCTTGGTGTGTGCTTCCTTGAGTCCAACTTCTTTGGGACTCTCTGAACTTCCTGGACTTTCTGGAAGTCTATTTCCTTGGCCAGATTGGGGCAGTTCTCCTTCATTATATTTTCAAATTAGTTTTCTATTTCTTGCTTCCTCTTCTCTTTCCGGCACCCCTATGATTTGGATGTTGGAACATTTAAGGTTGTCCTGGAGGTTCCTAAGCCTCTCATTTTTTTGAATTCTTGTTTCTTCGTTTTGTTCTGGTGAATGTTTCTTTTTTCCTTCTGGTCCACACCATTGATTTGAGTCCCTGTTTCCATTCTGTCACTGTTGGTTCCCTGTGCATTTTGTTTTATTTCACTTTTCATAGCCTTTACTTTTTCCTCTATTTTGTGACCATACGCAACAATTTCTGTGAGCATCTTGATTAGCAGTGTTTTGAACTATGTATCTGATAGGTTGGCTATCTCTTTGTTGCTTAGTTGTATTTTTTCTGGAGCTTTGATCTGTTCTTTCATTTGGGACTTTTTTTTTCGGTCTCAGTGCGCCTGTTCTGTAGTGAGGGGTGGAGCCTTAGGCATTTGTCAGGGTGGGACAATCCACATCACTGCCTGGTAGCGCTGTATGTGGGGGAGGGGTCAGAGAAGGAACAATGCTGCTTGTTCTACTCTCTGCCAGATTTTAGTCATTTTCCCTGCTACCCACAATCAAATTGGGCTCTTCTGGAGCTAATTCCCGGGTGGGTGGGCTTGTGTACATTTTAAGACCCTGTGGGTCTCTCCAACCAACTCTCCTGCAAGGCTGGGAGTTTCTCCCGCTGCCACAACCCCCACAAGTGTTTTCAATCAGAGGTTTGAGGCTTTATTTCCCCGTGCTGGAACTCCAGGTTGTGAGGTCTGTCTCCCTCCCCAGTTGTTCCTCCCGGTTTATCTGCATGCAAATGTGGGACCACATGCTCTGCCAGCCACCACTTCGCTGGGTCTGCCTGCTGCTGCCTTGCCATGAGTCTTCTCTGCCCAGCTGCCTGTCTCTGCCCATCCTACCGACTGGTCTGTATGAATGTTTCTTCTTTAAGTCTTTGGTTGTCGGATTTCCATACAGTTTGATTTTCTGTCAGTTCTGGTTGTTTTTGTTTTTAAATTTGTTGTTGTCCTTTTGGTTGTGTGAGGAGGCACAGTGTATCTCTACCTTACCTTCATCTTGGCCAGAAGTCACTAGAATTTCTATGCAACCTTTCAGAGTTTTGCTAGATACATTCAAAATGTATAAACTTTAAAAAAATTGTATTGTACTATGAAATTGACCCGAAACCTTTTTTAAAACTCAACAATTATCAACAGAGACTTCTATGACAATATATTTATAGATCTACATTATCATTTTCAAATCAGCTTCATATTATTGTATTGTGTGGATAGTCCATAATTTATTTCACCAGTTTTTACTGACAGATATTTATATTGTGTTCAGTATTTTGCTGTAATGATCAATAGTTTAACGAGCAGCCCGGCACTAGCCCCCTTGCTATTTTAATTGCACACGAAGACAAGCTTCCATGGGGAGGGCCTGGGAGGTCCACTGTGACTACTCCTCATTCGAGTTGGTGGCTGCTCCTCGTTCGAGTGGGCCCCCTTATCCCTGGGGACAGCCTGTAACCTTACGCGGTTTGTCATGCAGGACCAGGTGGTTAAGATGAGTGTGGCTCCAGGTCCCCCTCCCCTTCACATCCTTGAGACCTCTCCTTCCCCACCTTTGATCTCAGTCCCATCCACATTACCAAACCAACCAGAAGCAGGAGATGCTGAAGAATCCCACCCAGTGTTCACGGCTTAGCATCCAGCCCACTGGGCTTTGTTTAATCTAGTGCCCAGCCAGTCATTCACGTCACTTCGGAAAATATTTAGACTCATGGGAACTGAAGCCCTGAGTGAATGCCAGGGAGGAATGATAAAAACGCTTTTCACTGAGGAAAAGGAACATGAAAGGCTCAGAACTCAGAGCACTTTTAGGAAGGATTAACTATAACAGGCTAAATGACACCCCACATCAGGGGTGACAAGCTCATTTTCACTGGGGGCCACATCAGCCTCATGGTTGCCTTCAAAGGGCTGAAATAATTTTAGGACTGTATAAATGTAAGTACTCCTCAACTGTTAAGGAGCTGATATTACATTCAGCCCTTTGAAGGCAACCACGAGGTTGATGTGGCCCCCGGTGAAAATGAGTTTGACATCACTGTCCTACATTATGCAGCTAGGAGAACTGCCAAAAAGGTGAGACCGCCAAATGCCCAAGTTATTCAGAGTGCTGATAAGCTTCAAGAGCTTGTGAGATGCAGGTTCTTGGGTTCCACCCCCAAAGCTCCTGACTGTCCCCTGGGGTGGGCTCCCCAGGGAATTCATGTTGCTTGGTCTGAAGACAACATTTTGACAATGATTGATGTGCTGTGACCTGGTTAGGTATGCCACGGATTTTTAAAAGATGGGAAATTATGCTTCAGGGAGTGTCTCTCACAGTTTGAAAGTGACTATAGATCTCTGAGAAGAAAAGCAGATGAATTGCTTTGCTTACTTCTAATCCTTCCTTTTAAAGCGTGAGCGCGTTAACTCTGTACCTACCTTTATCCCTCTCTCCACCTGAAGAAGGTGTGGCTTTATTATAAAGCCATGCCAATCAAATTTTTTAAAGATTTATCTTTAGAGAGCGGGGAAGAGAGGGAGAAACAGAGGGAGGGAAACATTGATGTGAGAGAGAAACATCCATCAGTCGGAGAGAAACAGGAGCCAAACTGGCGACCTTTGGTTTTGTGGGACGACACCCAACCAGCTGAGCCACACCAGTCAGGTTCTCAATCAAATGCGTGTTAAAGTTTGCAGGCACCTTGGGATACTGCTAAGTTGCTAAGCTAGAAAAACCAGAAAAGGTGGATGAAACTGAGGAAGGAGGAGTTGTGTTCCTCAGCTACAGGTCATAATTACTCAGGATGTTAAACCACTACTGCTTCAGCCAGAAGGGAAGCCTGGGTGGGCCTGTGCTGTCCTCTGCAGGTGGTCCCTGGCCCAGACAGACAGCCCCACAGTCAGTCCTTTTCTGGATGCCAAATAGGGCAGAGGGGACACCTCTGAGTCCAAAGGATGGGAGAGCACTCTATACAGATTTAATTGGTCTCTCTCTCTTTCAGAAAGAAGTACAACTTAATTTTTCCTTTTCAGGAAAGGAAACAGGGATAATTAGTAAAAGGTGAAAAGGAAAAGTTGGTATTAGTGAACTGTTGATATTTTAATTCTAACATAGGCATTTGTTTTAGTGGAAACAGCTAACAAGCCCCTGCTCCGGGGCTGGGCGCAGGTGGAAGTGCTGCCTGCTCCGCCCAGGCCTCTGGGGGGGGGGCGGGGGGGCAGCGCAGCTTCACCTGTGCAGAGAGGAAGAGCAGGACCCCGGACCCTGCAGAGTGTTTCTCTATTTGCAGATTGATATGGACTCAATTTTCACTCTAGGGAAGAACCAGCATCTTGAGTTCGTGCAGAAGCAGCCTTGAGTTGGGAGGCAGCCTGCTGTGTCCCTGCTGTGGCTCTGCCTGGTGAACTTGTGTGCCCTTGGGAAGGGGAATAGATTGTATATAGATAACGCAAGGGGATTAGATTTGCTGATCTCCAAGACCCATGAAATCAGATTAGAAAGTTCAGTTTTTGTAGGCATTAAATAGGCACTTAAGTTGGGTTACCTAAAAAAGGAACTGTATTTTAGAATGAGAAGAGTGTGTAAGGACACTTTGGCACTACCTGTCGTGTCTCAGTATAGGTGTAGGCAGCACGTTGGTCAGCAGCCACCCAAACTCGGCCAGCGTGTGCAGCAGGGGGCCGTAATCCGTCCTGATTTCACAGCCCTGGGGGAACAAGCATAAGAGCTCCCAGTCTGATGGCAAAGACAACCAGCTACACAAGCGATTGCAATACAGGGCAGAGGGTGTTCTGAAGGGCGTAGTTTACGCTCCATAAAGTGCAGTTTCACTGGGGTGCAGCCTTTCTGCTACCTGCTGCCTTCTAACCCTTGAACCGAGTTAGAAACACTGGGTATCAGAGGGGAGACACGTTCCCATCTGTTCTCCAAGGTTTGGGCGCTCCTTGGGTCTTGTTGCCTTGGTTTTGTTCTGGCATCAAACACTAATGGGGGTGGAGTCTGCATTTTAAATGAGCTCCCTAGGTGACTCGGATCTAAACAGTTCACAGGCCACACTTTCAGAAACACCTGTCTAACAACTGGGAACCTAAGGACAAGAGTGCGGACTGGGGACTGAAAGGTGAGAGGAGCTTAGAACTGCTGTTGATTTTTTTTGAGCTGAGAGCTGGACTTGATTTTTACTTGGAGCTTTACCTCTTCCTTCAAATCCTGTGTATGACTCTCAGTGGGATTTCTAGTTTCTTTGAAAAAATGGGCCATGTCTCTAACCTTTGTAAGACCAGAAAGGCAAACGTGTCCATGGAAGAGCCTGTGAGCCAGGCCGCATACACACCCCGCAATGTGCCCGAAGTCAGTCTGCACACCTCAGGTGCTGACCTCTGGCCTCAGAGTGCACGTCGGTAGCAGTGCCCTCTCCCATCAAGAAGGACAGTGCTGTGTGTACGCATCCGGCCTGCTGACGCAGAGAACACCTTCTGGATATTTTTGCCTTTGACAGTTCCCAAAGTAAAAAGTCAGTCACGTTGGTTGCTTGGAGATAAAGTACTAGTTATTGACTGAAATTTTTCACTTTCAATCAGTTTTCATGGCATTGTGTAAAGGGAACAGAGCCAAAGGACTTTGTTTAGGTCAGAATGCCAGTCTTTGGGGATATACTGCTGTTTTCGTATAGATCATTGCTTTGCTCTCTCACAACATTGGGTAATGCAGTGCTCACAGATCTGAAAGAAGTTTGTTCACGCATCTGTCAGGAAACTCCAAACACAGCACAAATACGTCAGGAGACTTTGCTGTGTTAGGCAGAAAGAACTTTAACACGTAAAACTAAATATGAAAGTAAAGAAAAATTGTCAGAAAGCTGCAGTTTACCTCGATAACAGTCCATTGTTCTACCACGATGGCATCATTTCCTTTTCTACTGGAACCTGGAACTCCAGAACCTTCTTCTTCATAGATAAAGAATCCTTCCAAAGATTTAGGCAGATGGTCTCCTTTGAGGAAAAGGATACAATTGAGAAGAGTTGTAAATGCTGAGTGTTTCTTAAGATCACCTAAACCCTTAAATAACCCTGGTAGGAAGCACGCAGGAAAACGTACACGTTAACAAATGCTCATTATGGCTCAATCAATAACATCCTCCTCCTCCTCTTTGAAGGTTTATTTATTTATTCTTCCAAAGGTCAAGACAGCTTTATACTTCACTGAATTAAAACCGAATTGTAAACATGAACATGACAATAACAAAAACAGAATAAAATAACATCATACAGTGAAAGGCAAGTAGATTTCCTAAGCCTCAAAAGCGTCTGAAAATAGCATCACCTCAGATTTTGGTTTCTGATATGTATGTTGTATGCATGTTACTTACATCATTAAGAGAAACAACATCAGCAATGTTAATCCTTGAAATTCACAGGTGTGATTTAAAACTAATGTGAGGTAAGGTTACTTCAAAAAGTATAAAGAGAGAACAATTCTTTACTTCAGTGATTCTTAAAAAAAAAGAATGGTGACAGGAAGATTCTAAACAGAAGTCATTGTCAAAAGAATTCCTGCTGGGAAGGAAGTTTTAAGGGAGGGCCTCTCTGACATTTTCTTGAATAGCTGACAACAACCATCTGGCCAAAACCGAACTGATTCTATGGAAGTTCTTTTGTCTCTAATTTTGCAAGAGGAGACAATTTTCCCATGGTCACATGGAGTTAAATATTTTGGTTTTTATATAGTGAAATGTCACATCAAAGTTTCCCTAGTTGACAGTTATCCAGAAAAGAAAGGCCTACAAAGTTTTCAAATGAGCTACTAACCTTAAATATAAAAAAGACAAACATAATCTTAATATAATATTTAGTTTTAGTTTTTATGAACAGGCTATGCAAAAAAGTCATTATATTATTATTTTCACATCACTTACAGTTCAGGCAGAGTATCATGAAGAATTTACATTGTTCAGAGCGGTTTCCAAGAACCAATGAAGTTTAACTTACTGGCTGGAGATGGTCTTCTGATTACAGTCTAGACTCCCTTTCCTCCAAAGGTACTTAACTGTCACACCAGAGTGACCGGAAGAATCAAAGCTCTTTCTGATTGTAAGTGCAGGGTATCACTTATCATCTTTAAAAATAGATGCTTATATCCTAAGTCCTTTTTAAGAATGGGGGCACATGAATTTTAAAAATAATTATCTATTTTGATAACAATATGGTTATTTATAATCTATTTACTTTGGGATTGTACAGTATAACATGAGACCCATAGGTTTTATGTCTCAGCATCTGTTTTCTTGCTCTCAGTATTGGGGTTTTCTAGTACTTCTTGACTTCTAGTTTAAAAGAAAAGTGTAGCTTTATACAATGCAATAATGAGAATAAAAAAGAAAAACTCACTGCTTTGCAGCAATATCAATGCATTTCAGTGATACTATGTTAAGCAAAAGAAGCCATATATAAAGACATAACATATTACATACTTTACACTTCAACCTGTGTGAAGTTTAAGAACAGGCAAAGATGATCTATGGCCGTGGAATTCTGAGCAATGCTCCTCCCTGGGGTAGAGGATATTGACTGGGAGGGTCATGAGGAGGCCTTTCTGGGATGTTGGAAATGTTCTGTACCTTTTTTGTTTTTGTTTTTGCATTTCTTTCTTCCCAAGGTTTATTGAGCTATAATAGACATGCTTTTCTTAGCTGTATTGGGATATAATAGACGTCCAAGGAATGTTCTGTATCTTGAACAGCTGGACACATAATATTAATGCACTGTTTACATGCATGTTACATTTAAGTTAAAAGCCAAAGTCCACCCTTCTCACTTTAGAGCCCCCAGGACCCTGGGGTGGCTCGCTTAGGGCTCAGGCTGGTCCCCAGAGCCAGAGCTGTAGCAGACTCACACTTCCCAGGAGAGAGGGCTAACAGAAGTGCAGCTAGGGAGGTGGCCGGGAAGGTTGCGTGGGGAGTGACTATTTGAGAGTTTAATGTGTTCAATCTTCCAGGTAATGGGGTGAGGTGATAAACCTGAACATTCCTTAATAAGTGTTCCCCAGTGGTGTCACCTTTGATGTTACCTGTTCCAGAACTTCCCGCCCAGTGTGCCTTGGCCCATTAGTGTGCATAGAAACAGATACAGGTATGATGAGATGCAGGCGCCCCTCCTGCCCAGCGCAGCTTTATCCACTTGCACCGTGCACCTACAATGTTGCACTTTCCATGTGTGCATCATATGAAAAAGTCACAAAGCATTTACCTACTGTTTCTCCAAAATTTTTTTTTGAAAACCAAATACCACCATCACAAAGGAAAGGACACTTGTGTCGAGGAAGGGTGGTCTCCGGGTACAGTGTGCAGTGGTGCATGGCAGGCAGAAAGTTACTGGAAGGTCTAACGCTGTGTCTCAAAAATCCATGCAAACTTTGCATTCTTTTCAAATATATTCATATTATGTAAAGAAATAATGTTCTCCCCTCTGCCCTCTTAAAGTAATAGTGACACTCGAAGAGGAAGTTTACCCTGTGACCTTGCATGCTCCCTGGCACGAGGCTGTGTACCCCGAGGGTGCTTGAACCCTGGCTTGAGGACACAAGCCTAAAGGCTTCCCAGGGAAGAGTTTACGTGTCTGGGCATGAGCTCCTGCACAGCCACCTTGGCTGGATACGACACTGGCGCTCCTGTAAATATGGAAAAGGGTAATCCTCCATTTCGGTAGTTTTGGTCCATGTGTCATTTTTGGCATTAAACTGCCCAGAGGTGGGCCCAGGACCATCTCTGAGGAATGGAGGGCAAGCACGAATGGGACCTCTCTTTCTGAATTTTGTTTATGCCCATCTGTCTCCAGAAGAAATGCCAACCTACTTCTCCACGTCTCCACCATCTTCTCTGTGTGGACCATTGCAACAGCTTCACAACTTCCAACTTCCACTCTCCCCACGCTCCCAACAGCCTCCCCACTTCCACTCTTGCCTTCTGTGGTCCACCTCCCAAAATGAGGCCAACGAGGTGCTTTTACAAATGCAGATCCTAACTGCTTCTTAGAGTTTTAATGAATGACTACTCAAAGTCCTGACAGGACAGCAAATTGCTTAAGAGCAGGCACTTACCCAGGTGCCCTCTCCCCTCTCGAGCTGTGTGAACAGGGGCACTTATTTAATAGCTCAGTGTCTTACTTGCCTCATCTGTAAAAGGGGAACAATCATACCTACCTTATAACATTGTTGTGGGGATTAAAGGAGCTAATAAATGTAGAGTGCTTAGGACAATGCCGGTGCATAGTAAGCACAAACGCATGTTAAACCTTGGTGCACTATTTCTATTATAAGGCTCTGCACGGAGGGGCTGCTGCTCACCTCTCCCACCATGTCTGGAACCATTCTCTCGAGGGACAGAGCCCTCTTCCCAGTGCCCCTTTCTCGCCCTGGAGTTTTTGTACATTTGGGGGCGATTCCCCTGCCGATACCTCTGGCTGCCCCGGCCAGCTCCTTCCCAGCCTGCAGTCTCAGTGGGATCGTTACCCCAGCAGCTGAGGCCTCCTGACTGCCCCTCTTCGTGGGTTCTTCCCTGATGCTCTCATTACAACATCCTGTTGGGTTCCGTCACAATGCTTTTCTCAATTTTGAAATTAAATATATGGTGTGATATCTGCTACTGCCTGATACCGTATGGCTAGCTTCTTGAGAGCAGGGAAGATATCCATTTTGCTCATCATTGGAAACCCAGGGCCTGGCCTATACATATACATGAAGTGAATAAATACCTGTTCAAATGTCATTCCTCTACCCCACTGCTCATTCTGACAGCTTTCCCTGCCAGTAACACATAAGCGTTTTATAGGGGCGAAGGGATTGGACTGCATATCAAGTGAAGTCTGAAAAGAATTCACAAAGAATTAAAATATATTCTTAAGATGTGGGTATATATGAAAGGTGGGAAGAGACTGCTCCGAGGATGATGGGGGCATTTGTAGGCTGGTGAGGGGTGTGTGTGTGTGTGTGTTTTGTAGCAGTGGGCAAAGCTGCCTGTCTCACCCCGTGTCAGCTGCCCGCCAAATCTCTGCGTGTTCTGACAGGGCCAAGGCTTTGTCTCTGTGCCCGCCTCAGGTAAGTGTGCACTGCATCCAGCTGAGGACGGGTTGCAAAAGGCCTAGTAATGCTGAAGAAGGTCAGGTACAGGAGACCTCAGGCTGCAAAAGGGCCACAGGGTGTATTTCCATGGTGCTTTTTGAAGCAGAAAAAGCTTTGAGGGAGGTTGAGAAAGGGCACTGAAGAGGAGCTTCACAGACCTTACAACTCTTCCACCATGACCTGCCCACGGAGAGTATGTTTGAAAACGCTTTTTTCCTTCTCTCTTTCTGGAGGAAGGCGTTTGTAAAATGAGATGTGTGGAGTAATATATTTAAACTTCTGAGCCATGTCTGGTTTTGTACTTGTATTCCTTGTGGTGCACTGACTTCTGGCAGTATTTTGGGAGAGGATGGAAGCAAGACAAAACAAAATACGCATTGTCCCCATGTGCTTTAGAAGTCAGCCATTAGCTACCCCAGAACAAAGTGACTGGTTCAGCCCTACTTCCTCTCGACTTGCTTCTCACAGGGACAGGGGCCTGCTCACAATTTCCCCTCTGCAGCTTCCCTGCGTACATACTCCCAGGGAAGTCCTGAGTGACACGCCCAATCTTCTGACTGAAGACTGAGGTGGCTATCAGGGTCCTGGCAGGGTCTGCAACGTCAGATGTCTGTCTAGCGAGGCCTCCCAGAGCTGCTGGCGGAGATTCTGCCCCTAGGCTCTCTAAATAGCTTCTGAGGCTTTAAGAACAAAAGTCCTACAGAGCCTCTAACTGGCAACTGCTGTGGCTAATTTTGTTTTCTGTGGGCAAAGGCTTGAAAGAGATTGTGAAAGGAGTATTTTTTGTTTTTCCTTCAGCAGTTAGTCACAAACCAAAATTTGAAACGGCTCCAACTTTGACTCTCTGGAGGGAAGGAGGAGAGAGAAAAGAGGGGAGATGAGGAAAGAGGGAGGGAGGGAAATGTGGAGCAGGAACTGACCTCCGAGGAGGCGATCCATTCTGAAAGCACTGTAACTGCACGTAGTGAGCGTCAGGAGAGAAAATCAGCCTCAGCAGATGAACTCTGCTGGTGGGTGAGGTGCTGTGGGAGTTGCTTTGTATGTTCTACCTCGTATTACATGCTCACAACAGTAGAGCAGGAGTATTTTTAATTTTCAATTTATTTAAGTACAGTTGGTATACAATCATATATCGGTTATATTAGTTTTGGGTGTACGACATAGTGATTTGACATTTTTAAACCTTACATTGTGATCACCCGAGTAGTTCTAGTGACCATCTGTCATCATGTGAACTGAGCACAATATTGTTGACTCTGTTCTCCTTCACCTCTTTTACCCTCCCCCCACCCCTGCCTTCTGGTGACCATCCTGTGGTCTCTGCTTCTATGAGTCAAAGCAGCAGTATTTTGATCCCCCTTTGAGGAAACTGGGGCTCAGTGAGCTCAGCTAACTTCTTCAGATCACACGGCTAGTAAGAAGGGAGCACAGGATTTAAACCCCTGTCTGTCTGATCTTAAAGCCCATGATCTTCCTATCAGATGAACACGGGAGAAGTTTCCAATGATCAAAAAAAAACCACCTAAAAAAAATTTATCGAGCATCTGCTGTGTGCCAAGCATTATGCAAGGTGCTGTATTTCTGGGTGTTTCAGTGAACTTGATCCTTGCTCTTCGTTGCTAGTTAAAAGGATCTACTGGAACATGACTCTTGATAACTTAAAATACTCATCCAAAGTCTTTAGTTGTATCAGTGAAGTTGTCACTAGACTGATGCAGTGATAAGAAAGTACTTGGAGACCTCATCTCACTCTTCCACTCTTTGCTCTGACCTCATAGGGTCAGGGCCTCCGTTATTCTGGTTTTCATAATGTCTGTCCTCCCATGTTGGCAGTTTCCTTCCTATCTATTTTTCTTTTCTTTTGGTTGGCACTAATCTCTTTTTAAAAATGCTTTCCCTAGAAAGCCATTTTTGCAAAGTTTTGTTTGTTTTTTGTTTTTGTGATATGGATGACTGAATACAGATTCCACTGTAACTAAGAGAGGAAGGTTAGAGACAGATGAGAGACGGGGGAGGCCGAAATAAAGACGGGTCAGTATCATTTTCTGAACCGAGGGCTATTTTTCTAGCCAAAGTACAGTGAGAATCAGGTAGGTAGTGTCCACAGTTGGGAGAGTGTAATAAACTCGGACAGTAACTATCCATGACCATTGTAAGCCTCCTGATTGGGTTGTGGTAGTGCATCGTGTTTGGAAACTGCTGCTAGTCGAGCACACAGTGGCTTGTCAGGTCCTGATGGTTACAACCCAACAGCAAACACGTTAGAATTATACCACACAGGATGGTTAAGCTTTTAAGTTAAAGCTACGTAGCTGTTTAAGAATTGGAATTATGTTCTGAGGAATGATATCTGTCCTTTTAGCCACAGAATTTGAGAGGCCAAAACATGTCTACCAACTCTAACACAAGGTCATTTTTTAGATATTTATGTATCTTAATTTAAAACTTACCTTTAGATGTTTCCCAGCATAGAAAAGAGTCAATTAAAGACAAGCCTTGCTTGTAATAAAATGTAGTTAGCTCCAACCAGTCGGCGTCGAGCGTACTAATGACAGATCCTTTCCTCGTTACTTTCACGGACAGGACGCCCTCCTGGTAGGTCCAGCAGGTTGACTCATCATCAAAAACATTGAAGGCTATATAGAGCTTGTTATCTGAGGACAGCATTCAGAAGGAAGAAAAAAGGGAAAAACTATAATTTTACTGAAAATATTCTTAAAATATTTTTTATTAATGATGAGCTATTTCAAAATATAAACAAACACCGAGAAAAATAAAATCGCCACTCAGCTTTACCAAGTATTAACACTGGGCCAAGTTTGCTCCAGACTTTTTTCAAGGAGTTGACATGGATGCAGGTGAGGCCCACTCTGTAATCTTCCCTCATCCTATTCTCCAGAACTAGTTACTATAATGAATTCGGTGTTTATCACTCTCATGCTAGCATTTATTCTTTTAATACAGATTCATATGCCCATCAATTATACCCATATTTTGCGTGTTAGCGAGCTAACATTACTTGCATTACAGAATAAAGCATTTGCGTACGTGTGTTACACGCATTTTTCTGAGTTGAGTCGCACAAATCTCATCCGAGGCGTTTTGCGTGTTGGCTCCCCGCACACCTCCTAGTGGTTCTAAGAACCACTGCCACAGAAAAGTTACTAAAAGTTAAAAACAAACTATTTAGAAAGTGGAAGCTAAACATTGATACTTAAATTAAGTAGGTAAGTCTATTGGTTTTAGAGCTTAAAGAACTGGAAATAGACACCTGATGTAACGAAGGTCAGGGTGGGGACCGGCAGTGTGAAGGCAGCAGTGGGTAGAAGATAGTGACTAGCTCTCTCACCATAGCTCCAACCCTTGTTCACACTTACGTCCTTAAATTTTTGACACTGCAGGAAAATTAAGGTGGCCCTTGGCAAGGAAGCTGGTGAGAAAAGGGGCAGGGTGGCAGTGTTGAAGATGTGTGAGATGATGAGTTGGTCCTGGCTCTCTTAAGGAGACTGTGCTGCCCGAGGTCAAATGGGTCTTTGTTATACGCAGGATGTTAAGCACAGCTCAACCACAACCGGGAGAGCTGACACCCCAGTCTGTCAGTTAATAGCAGCTAACTTAATACAGAGTTTGTTCTGTGCCAGGCAGTGGGCCAAGCACTTTGTACATATCTCTTGTCTACACCTCACAACAGCCCCCTTTCTGCAAAGAAGTTGACAGAATCTTATTCTCATTCCAGAAGTTAAGCATATTCTTACCTCTAAGGTATACACAGTGTTAGATTTTCTCTCATAGTGCTTTTTAAAACGTGCCTGTTATCAGAAAACTTTGAACAGTCCAAAAACATGAGTAAAATGTGCAGTTTTCTTCAAAAGACTTGCTAGTGGCTGAGAACAAGAAAACTATTGTTTAAAGATATTTTGGGATACAGGCACTATTGTTACATTAATTGTTTCACCATGATGTGCCATTTTCATATTCTAATTGACAATCAAAGAAAGCCAATCAACTTCAAGGGTGAAAACCATCCATGAAATGGGAAAGGCCAAAACTTAAATTCTCACACACTGTTTACATAAATCAGAACAGCTGTCTTTCTAGAATCGCTTGTTTTGGTACGTATGCACAGTCTCCACTTTACAGGGAGGTGGTGGATGAATTAAGGGAAGGAAGTGTCCAGCACAGCTTCCTTATGTGGGTGGCATTATTACGGCCACACCGGAGGCAACTTTGAAAAACTAGCCTACCTTATGTCTGGCTATAACGATTTTAAAGAATGAAGACAAGTTTATATTAGTTTACTTTGTCATCAGAACCTTTAGAAATGTATTTTTCCTCATATTTCTAAAAAATGTAATTTGCTAAATTTAACCTTATATATGTTCTATTTCTATTCTTCCCATCTATTACCTTCTCCCTTTTTTGATTTAGAGGAACTGGGGCTGCCATCTCGTTCCACTTGACACTGTCCACTCTCATGAGGAAATTCTTCCTCAATCCCACTTTCCGGTGCTTGCCCGCTGAATGCTCCCTCGGTCCAGCTCTTCCAGTTTTCATCTGAGGAGTGTTGCTCGTGTGGTGTTGATTCTGCATCTCCACCAGGGTCGGTTCCATTGCAGAATGGTGGGTAATGCTGGGATATGAACCCAACGAATCTCATTCCTTTCTTAGAAGCTCCATTAATCTGAGGTTTAAAAAGAGATGGTAGAACAAAATATAAATTTCATTTGAACTGATTACTTTATCAGTGAACATTTAGGCTTGTTAAGGAAATCCATTAGAAGTAAATTTGCTGGTAACTAGACTCATTCGTAAACAGATGAACACCTCCAGTAGGGCATTGCTCCTAAGACTATGTCACACTGTTAACGTGTTGTCTTCAAACGAAACTCAAACACTAGAAATTATGAAAACAGAAATCTTATTTTTCTTTAAAAGATTACTGTTTGGGAAGAACTAAAAATTCTATATCATGTTTTTTTGCAGACCTGTTAACAAATGGTCTCTCTAGTTGAGGAAAAATTAAAACTATTCTAAGAAATCCTCAAAAATAAGATAACCAAACACATTTTTCTTTTGCATTATTATTTCTGTGGGTATTTTATGTGTGTATGTATGTGCATATGTATTTATTTATTGTTGGTGGTATTTTTATTGTATTTTTCCATGACCATTTATCCCCCTTATACTCCCCTCTCCCAAACACATCTTTAAAAAAAAATATATATATTTTATTATGTGATTACAGTTGTCCTAATTTATCCCCCTTTACCCTCTTCAACCCAGTACCCTCCATCCCCTCTGGCAGTACTCCCCCTTAGTTCATGTCTATGGGTTATGCATATAAGTTCTTTGGCTATTCCATTTCCTACACCACTCTTAACACTGCCCTGCCTATTCTGTAACTACCTGTTTGTACTTTTTAGTTTATGCACCTTTTCCCCTATTATCCCCCTTCCTTCTCCCAACTGTTAACCATCCAAATGATCTCCATATCTATGATTCTGTTTCTGTTCTGCTTGTTTGCTGTTTGTTTTTAGGGTTCAATTGCTGATAATTGTCAATTTATTGCCATGTTAATGTTTATAGTTTTGATCTTTTTCTTAAATAAGTCCCTTTAACATTTCAAATAATAATGGCTTGGTGATGATGAACTCCTTTAGCTTTACCTTGTCTGGGAAGGACTTTATCTGCCCTTTGAATGTAAATGATAGCTTTTCTGGACAGAGTAATCTAGGTTGTAGGTCCTTGTTTTTCATCATTTTGAATACTTCCTGCCAGTCCCTTCAAAGGGATTGCAAAGATTCTTTTGAGAAATCGTCCAACAGTTTTATGGGAACTCCTCTGTAGGTAACTATCTGCTTTTCTCTTGCTGCTTTTAAGATTCTCTCTTTATTCTTAAACTTTGGCATTTTAATTATGATGTGTCTTGGTGTGGGACTCTCTGTGCTTCCTGCACTTGTATGCCTATCTCCTTCACCAAATTAGGGAAGTTTTCTTTTGTTATCTTTTCACATAAGTTTTTAATTTCTTGCTTTTTCCCTTTTCCTTCCGGCACCCCTATGATTTGAATGTTGGTTCCTTTGAAGTTGTCCCAGAGGCTCCTTATCCTATCCTCATTTTTAAAACATTCTTTTTTCTTCTTGCTGTTCTGATTTAATTTTTTTCTTCCTCGTGTTCCACATCATTGATTTGATTCTCGGCTTCATCTACTTCATTGTTGATTCCATGTAAATTTTTCTTTATTTCATTTAGTGTAACTTTTACTTCTGCCTTGGTCTTTTTTTTTTTTTTTTATGTTGTTGAAGTACCCAATGAGTTGCTTGAGCGTCCTAATAACCAGTGTTTTGAACTCTGCATCCGATAGATGGCTTCTCTCCATTTCATTTAGTTCTTTTTCTGGAGTTCTGTTCTGTTCTTTCATTTAGGCCATATTTCTTGGTCACCTCATTTTGACAGCATCCCTGTGTTTGATTCTATGTATTAGGGAGAGCAGCTTTGATTTCCTGTCTTAGTAGTGTGGAGTAATGTAGAAAGGCACACCTAAGTTGGATGGGGCAGAGCCTTACATAATTGCCTTGGCCCGGCAACCTTTATGAACCAGGTTGATGGAGTCTCAGTTATGGTGTCACTCCTCTGCATGTGTGAGGGCTCAGAAAAGGGACAGTGGCTGATGCCTAGTCTTTGGAGCTTTGTCTGGGAGGGGAGCTGTCCCTGGCATTCACCCTGCTGCCAGACACTTCACTTTCTCCCTGTATGCCATTGGTGCCCTTCCAGCTGCCACCCTGGTGCTGGAGCCCAGGGTGAGTGAGCCTGTATAAGTCCTAAGTCCATTGCAGACGATTTAAGAGGAGATGCCTGAGAATCCCAGTTTCTTCTGCTGCCCCAACCCCCACTGGTTTTTACAGCCAGAAGTTGTGGGTACTTATCTTCCTGGCACTGGCTGGGGGGCCTGGTGTGGGGCTGAGATCCCTTGCTTCTGGTATAACCCTCCCAATATTTATCCACCACACATGGGTGTGGGACTGCCTGTTCTGCATCTCCACGTCTCCACCCCTCCTACCATCTGAGTGAATGTGGCTTCTTTAATTCCTTGGTTGTTGGACTTCCTTACAGCTTGGTTCTCTGGGTGATAGGTGTTTTGCAGTTTAGTTGTAATTTTTGCTGTGGTTATGTGAGGTGAGCTGTGTTTATCTATGCTTCCATCCCTGTCAAGATTTAGAATTCTCCCCCACAAAATACATCTTAATTAGTAAAAAAAAGAGATATTAATTTAAAAGCAAAAAAAAAATACAGTCATTCAAAACTAACATCTGGCAATTCATTGTTTGTTTAATATAGGTACAGAAAAATGTTAAAAGACAAATTCTTGACAAATGTGCATGTATGATGCATAAACCCAATTCGTACTACCCCTTCAGGAAGCTTTCTGACCTGCTTAGATCTCGATTCTGTGGTCACCTGTCTGGGCCCAATAAACATGATTAGAGTCCATCCTACCAGTTACAGAATAGGATGCAGAAGCACATGGCCTAATTCCAATGAAATGATTTCAGACAATAAAAATGGCTATTTTCATGCACGCACTTTTCCTTTTCTCTGCTTTTGCTTCATTTCTTTGTTCTTGTGGTGTCCATGTCTTCCCTCCCTGCCCATGTTATTTTGAAGGCAGGACTGTGTCTTATTCATCTTTGTATTGTAGTATTTTGTGCATGTAGGTGTCCTGTACTTGTTAAGTTAAAATGAAGAAAGAACAATGTCTTTTACACGGTCACTGTTTTAAATGTTTCCTGGGAGGGGAAGAACGAGTTATGCTGGAGGTTGCATATGTAAACAGCTATAGTCAGAAATCAAATGGAATGAAACACCAGGAAGGGGGAGGGCAAAACCAGAGAGGGATGACGGATGAAAGGAGTGCCTGTAACCTCGCTTCCGCTGATGAAGAGAAGACTTCTGAGGACAGAGAGTGTGGGTGTGTGAGCTAGGACAAAGGGCTATGCTGACACAATGTCATTTATTTATCCCCTAAGTTAACATACTGACATTGTAACAATGCATGAGGGCTTACTAGTGAATGCAAATTGTCCTTTACATGTAGTGTCCTGGGAGGGGAGAGGGAGGTGGTAGGCAAGCATTTTTTAACGGAGTTCTGCAGGTGGAAACGAGTTTACTGCCAGTGCTTTCCCTGGGTCTTATTAGTTGATTTGGGTGAAACGGTGTAGAAGCCTTTTTCTATTACTAGAAAGTTTTATCTGGAAAAGTCTGGGAACAAATAGATTATATTAGTTAGTCTTTTCCATTTTTTAAGTTGGATGATTGATATTTTCCAATGTTATTGTTATTTAAAAATCCTAGATAAAACACTTGTAAACCTGATTTTAAAAATAGAGCAAACATTGATATAATGTTAAAATGTCTTAAAATGTAGCCGTTCAACAATCAACTCTTTATGTCAGGCAGCTGTTCAAAAATAACACTTGGCATTCATCTATTGCTCTTGTTCATACACGGGGCAATGTTCAAATATTTCATGTGCTATGTTTCCTGAAGCTTTTCTCTTTATGAAATAACCCCATTACTCTAATTGCTGAAATAACAGTACTTTCCTGTTTAAATAGATTTTTAACTGTCTCCAGGAAGTCAAGTGCAAAACAAGAGCTCTGATGGTGATCTAGTAAGACTAAATTAGTAGTTACATTTTTGTTTTCAAAAGAAAACAAAATTTTCTGGAGTGGATTTATTCCCAGAAAAAAACCAAAATTTCCCAGAATAGTAGGAGTAAACAATATGTGTACCTTGCTTATAAAAATCTAGTCTCAGACTGTTCCTGAAAAACCTTACTGAATGGTGACCTTACGCCAAAATGGGAAATATTAGCAGCTAAAACTGGCTAACAGCGAACAAGTTTCTTACTTGTTCTAACAGTTTCTTACTTGAAAAGAAATGCGTTAGGTTTTTGTTGTATTCATTTAAAAAAAAGCTAAAACCTTAGAAATATTTCAATGCAAGTAAAAAAAGAAAACTTTCACCGTGACATTCTATCAATTTAGAACACTTACAAATACACAATTTTCTCTTGACGGGCGCACAGTCCACGGCACATGGTCTGTGCCTGGTGCGGTGAGTTCACCACCCCAAGTCCAGTCTCCATCCATCACCACGTACCCTTCCCTGTGCGTGTTGTTAAGTTTCAGTTAGGTTATATTGTGTGGACCACTTGTAGGTATCATGTGTAATAACCATAAAATATTCCATTGTATTCATATACCACTGCCTTCTTCTCAGTTTTCCAGTTATTGAGGATTTGGCCCCTTATCCACTATTGATGAAAATATCTTTGCGCAGAAGTTACTTTTTACCCTCTCAATTAATTTCCTGGAATAGATTTCTAAAGAGGAAATTACTGAGTCATGAAATATAATGGGATTTATAATTTTAGTACTAAATTTATATTTAGGAACATTGCACTGCTAATTTATTACCATGCCTGTTGCAATATATACATTTTTCTTATAGCTCTTCCAACACTGGATTTAATACTTTCAATTCAATTTCTTACCAGGTAAAACCAGTGAGGTATTAATTCTTAGTTTTTATATTTACATTAAAAATTATCGGCTAGGTTGACCCTTTTGCCAAATGTCTGCTCCTCGTGTTTCCTTTTGTATTTGCTGTTCACGGATTCTGTCCATTCAAGACTGTACATCACTGATGCATATGTACTTATTTCATATATATTCTGAAACTAATTCCCATGGGACACTTTTGTTGTAAATTTCCCTCTGGCTTCTGTTCTTTTAAAACTTAATTTTACTAGTATGTGTTATATTTACATACCAACCCCAAACTTCTCAATCCACTTATAATTAAGTGCTTACTATGTCTACTCTTTCCTTTTCTCTCAGATATTTTTATACTTAAAAGTTATCTGTGTCTGATTTAAAACGTGTGGCATGTATTTCCTGCAGAACAATTGCCCACTTTTCCACAGGCACTTATTAAGTAATGGTTGTTCCCTTCTTTTATTTCATCAGGTTTGTTATAAAACTTCTAAGCGTATACATTTATTTCTGTCATTTCCATTCTCTTTCACTGGGCAGTATGTTTTGTTTTTCAACTCTGCACAATCTGGTCTATGTACTTTGGTGTGTTGTAAACTCTGGTAGAATGTCACTTATTATTTCCTTGTTCTTTTTAAAGCAAGAAAGGAAACAAAGAAGAAATACCAAATATTTCTCAGTATCCCATGGGAAAAATGCATATATTCAGTACCTTTTCTATCAGTTCTTTTGCTACATCATTTGTTTGTGTTTCATAAGTTAGAGGACATTCCTCAATCACAAGTCGTGGGCGTCTTTGTCCACTGGGTGCTGATGAATGCTTCGGGCTGTAACAGAGAATAAGTACATAGTTGGAAGCCAATTGCTGATTTTAAGCTAATATGCTCATGTAGAAATGAGTGAGCAACTCACAAATAAGGTCAAGTAATCAATTGGTTGTTTTTATTTCAAGCCTAATGTTGGTTATCTTCTTATTCGAAAATACCAGAAAAACACAGTAACTTTTATTAATTTGAATTTTCTTAATTTGACCCTGAATTGGTAGCTCAGCTGGTTAGAGCACCGCCGTGATTAGAGCATTGGTTAGAACGCCACGGATGCGGGTTCATCCTCAGTGAAGGTGCACACCAGAATCAACTAATGATAAATCGATGTTTCTTCCCCCACTCAAACCAATCAATAACCAAATTTCTTAATTTAAATCTCCTAATTTAATTTCTAGTTTAAATTAGAAGAAAATTTCACATCTGTTGTTTTAATAAAAGTCATGAGAAATAATTTCAGATGACTATGCCATTATTGTACATAAGCACACGTAAAAATCTTATTCAAATGCATGTAAATACTGTCCTGTGTTTTTCTTTTTTCTTCTTTTCTGATCATTACCCCTTACTTGTTCTTAGCCTTGTCAGGGCACAACTATGTTTATTTTAAGTAATGCCAACAGAGAAAAAGTAATGTCTACACAGTCTATAGAAGGTCTGTAATTAGGAACTAAATGTTGCTACTGTGTGATAAAATGGTGTGTTTACTTAGGAACACTTGAACTAGTAAACACCTCCTGGGGCCGCACAGCACATCGTGGTGAAGGCTGAAGCCCGCACACACCCTCTCCCACGGATGAGTAGGCCACTACTCAGTAGCAGACAGTGTCCCTTAATAGCACACTTAGAATTTTTTTTAATGTTTTTTTTTTTTTAGTTTTCTTGTTTACTTTTATTTCTTATGTCATTTTTCCTTCTTGGCTTTGCTGTTTCATAGTGAAAGTGGTTGACTATTAGACCATTGCCATAAAAAGAAAACACAGTTTCTACCCTGATCTTTGAGATGGTTTTGATATAGGTGAAGAGTTGCTTTAAAAAAGTGCAGTGTGTTAATCAAAGAAAATCAGTCTGGTTCTTTTCATTCTTCCGAACTTACAAGCTAAGCTGTTTTCCAGGGTTGCAGTATTGTTTGGGAAAGTAGCTATTTTTTAAAGTTTTAAAAAATAAAGGAAGACAGGTGGCTTCTACATCCTATATTTTTGGGAAAAAGCTGATAAGCGGTCCATCTAATTTGTGAGAACTTGGCATGTAGGCCTGTCTGAAGCAGAAGTTGTAGAAGGGAGATACTTCATGTTATTATTCTCAGTTAGACAATATAGGGCAGTTCAAAGAAACTCTCAGACCGAGTGGACTTCATGGGTCCGGTCGGCTCTTTGGGCCCAGTGATAGGCCGTGTAGCTGCCTGCTGCTCACACACCTGCTGAAGCTGCCCCTTCACTCACTGACGTCCTCACCTAGGACCAGTTTGTCTGCAAGGGGCTAAAATCAGTGAGGAAACATAAATGTCCTTCCTCCAATTCCTCCAGCCCTCCTAACTTATCCTTTACTTCCACCACTTAGTTCAAACTTTCTGTTCTTTTAGCCACAGAAAACGGCCATTCCCAATGGGGTCTGTTTTCTTGAGCAGCAGGCTTACCTTAATTTCAAGCGTGATAGCACTGCCCTGTACAGGTAACTTGCAGGTAGGTGTTTTCTCTGCCGCACAGGTTGTATGACAGGATGAATAGCCCCAACTATATATCCTTTAAGATAGTAATCTTCCACTTTTGTCACTATGTCTGGAATTGAATTTATCTTGATGACTTCTGAATTTGGTGAAGCTGAAATATTAAATGCAAAGAGAAATTTGCACATACTGTTGAATTATACATTATTTCTATATGCGATAATACTAAGTAGGAGACATGCTATAGGACTTAATCTTCAAATAAAGTTACAATAACATGAATTGTATATTTTCTAAATTAATTTCAGAAAAAAGCTACAAATGGAAAAAATATAATAAAGATTATATATTTAAAATAAGAAAAAAGGGGACTTCCGCCAAGATGGAGGCATAGGTGGAGACACCGTGCTTTCTCACACAACCAAGTTTAGAGACAACTAAATATTAGCAATAGAAAACATAGCCAGAACACAGAAAATTGAACTTTTCAGAAGTCTGATAACAACAAATTCTTCAGCTTGACCGGTAAGAGGGGCGAAACCAGCACCTGGTGGAGGAGGGTTGCATAGGAAAACTTGGTCAGATGGACTCAGGCGCGCAGAGCCCAGGCGCAGGGTTGGACCTAGTGAGCGACCCAGCGAGCGACCACGGGGAAATAGCGAGGGAGCAGGGCTGCGGGTTGATTGTGGTCACGCATTCGTGTGCAGATAGACAAGCGAGGGAGTGGGTGATTAGACGGGACCCAGCAGGCCCCAGCGTCCAGTGGCTGCAGAGGACACCTCCATTGCCCCGCTCTGACCACGCCCCCACATACAGCATCACAACCCAGCGACCTGAGAGTCCAAGGCTCTGCTCCTCATACTTAACAGGTGGGAACAGACCAAAAATGGCTCAAGAAGATCTCAAAGCCCCAGAGCCTATAAATCTAAGCAATGAAGAAATAGCAAAACTCTCAGACGCACAGTTTAAAACACTGGTGATCAGGATCCTCACAGAACTGGTTCACTATAGCCACAAATTAGAGAAACATATGAAGGTGAAACTAATTGAAATGAATGGAATTGCACAGGAAACCAATAGCGATGAAAAGGAAACTGGGACTCAAATCAATGGAGTGGACCAGAAGAAAGCAAATAATGGCCAAACAGAAAAGAGTGAAGAAGCAAGAATTAAAAAAAATGAGGAGAGTCTTAGGAACCTCCAGGACATCTTTAAACGCTCCAACATCTGAATTATAGGGGTACCAGAAGGGGGAAAGGAACAGCCACCAGTGGAAAACTTATTTGAACAAATAATAAAGGAGAATTTCCCCAATCTGGCAAAGGAAATAGACTTCCAGGAAATCCAGGAAGCTCAGAGAGTCCCAAAGAAGTTGGACCCAAGAAGAAACACACCAAGGCACATCATAATTACATTAGCCAAGATTAAAATGAAGGAGAGAATCCTAGAAGCAGCAAGAGCTAAGGGGACAGTCACCTACAAAGGAGTCCCCATCAGACTGTCAGTCAGCTGATTTCTCAAAAGAGACCTTACAGGCAAGAAGGGGCTGGAAAGAGGTATTCCAAGTCATGAAATCCAAAGACCTACAGCCAAGATTGCTCTATCCAGCAAAACTTTCATTTAGAATGGAAGGACAGATAAAGTGCTTCTCAGATAAGATCAAATTCAGAGTTCACCATCACCAAGCCCTTATTATATGAAATGTTAAAGGGACTTACCTAAGAAAAAGAAGTTAAAAAAACATGAACAGTGAAAGGACAGCAAACTCACAGTTATTAACAACCACACCTAAAACAAAAGCAAACCAAAAGGACAGCTAGATCAGGAGTGGAAACATAGAAATGAAGATCTCAAGGAGTAATAGCAACAGGGGAGTGGGAGGAGGAGAAGGGGGGAGAAAGTACAGAAAATAAGTAGCATAGACAGTAGATAGACAATAGATGGGGGGGCAAGAATAGTATGGGAAATATAGAATCTAAAGAACTTGAGACACGTGGTCATAAACTAAAGGGGGGGTAATGGTGGGGATGGGTGGTTAGGGTGGAGGGAATGAAGGGAGGGAATAGAACAACTGTAATGGCATAATCAATAAAAAAATAAATTAAAAAATAATAAAAATAAGAAAAAAGCAACAGTAACTTTATGAGCTTGTAGATATATAATATTACCAATATGTCTTAAAGTAAAAATATAATGCTTTCTACACATATTTTTCAGATGAGACTGGGCATGTTCAGGGTGGTATGGCTGTAGACTACACACATATTTTTCAATTAAGACAGCTTCATTTCTTAGGATTTCATGTGACTCTACTTCCATTAATAGATACTGAAGACATACAAAAGAAAAACAGTATTAAGTTGAAGAGCTAGTTTTTATGATTTGGAGTGATATGCATAATTCCTTAAGAATAAACTTAATATAAATCTAAAATTAAAAATGGAAGAAATGGTATTTGTTAAGTAAGAATTGTCATTTCCAATTACACTTCTAAACCAATGGGTTTTAAGTTTCTCTGGGAAGCTAAAAATATGATTTCTAATGGCTCTTAAGTTTGAGTAAAGGAATTAAAAAATGAAGGTATTCAGAAGTTCTTTTGAAAAAAATTCTAAATGTATAGGAAATTTAAATGTAAAATTGATATGCAATTAAACCACCCTTTTGAAGTAGGATAAGTCTGTAGGAACTATCAAATAGTACAATCTGGATAAGTCTGTAGGAACTATCAAATAGTACAATCTGGCTGGAGTGGCTCAGTAGACTGAGCACCCGCCTGAACACTGGAAAGTCACAGGTTCACTTTCCTGGTCAGGGCATGTGCCTGGGTTTTAGGCCAGGTCCCCAGCTGGGGTGCGTGAGAGGCAAATGATCAGGATCTTGCACAGATTTCTCTCCCTCTCTTTTTCCTTCCTTTGCTCTCTCTCTCTAAAAATAAATAAATGAAATTAAAAAAAATAGTGCAATCTGTATAGTTTTTAGTAAAAGAGAAAGGGTGTATTGCTTGGGGTAATGATTCTAGTGTTCCAGCTGTATTAATTTAGAAAACGCTGTCTGTAACAAATGAGAAAACAACTTTCTCATTTTCTGGAAAACAATGAAGAATTAATATGTAGAAGTGGACCTGCAGTTTGAGTATCTCTTGACTAACAAGACAGTGTGAAATTCATTGCAGGTACGGGCGGTGCGGGCTCTTGGCCTTCTGTCAGGGTAGCCAGTGGTGTCAGCAGAGAGTGCAGCTAGGGGCCTGAACACGGGGCGGAGGTTCACAGGCAGACAAGGAAGAGGGGCCAGGGAAAGCCCCCTCCTCCTTGACATTGCCATCCATGCAATGGACACAAAGCCACCATTGGGGGGTGTTCATGCCAACTTCTCAAAGCAAAGTACAGCACTCAATAGAAAGGTTATATAAACCAGGATGACTCGATTTCCTCAAATTTTCATCCTGCTTTGGATTTAAACTAACCTATTCATAAAATATTTTCTTTACACGATGAATAGGAATGAAAACAAAGGACAATCCTGGACTTTGAAGAAACAGCTGGGTTTCATTGTGAAATGACCCAGTTGGGCCTGGTGTGTGGCAATCACTCTGAGTCATTTGGCTTTCCCATTTTTCAGTATTTTTATCAACCGATGTGGATTTCCAAACAAAGGAACTGAACAACTATAAAATAGAATAAACTGTTAAGACTAGGAATCAAACACAACCTAAACTTATTTTTAGAACTATATACTAACCCTGCAAAGTTTCAAAGAGAATTTCAGTTTTTAATGACTCGCAGGGCTTATTGTAGAAAGTGCAAATGCTTCAGCAAGACCCAGATATGAAAGGGTCTCCACGGTCTGGGCTCTGCCTGCCTCCAGCCCTCACTCTCGCCTTCCTCTTCCTCTCACGTCCTGCTTCGGGGCGGGGGGGGGGGGCTGGAATCACAGGCCGCCCGAGGCTGACAGCACGTTTCGGGACACCAGGACTCCGTGCCCTTCCCCGCTCCCCAAGCCGGAGTTAACTATTCCTCTGTGCAGTACCTTGATTCCACTACTTCCCTCACCAGGCTGTAGGACAGTCAGTTGTTCACACATTTGTCTCTGCTGTCTGACTGAGAATTCCTTGGGGCAGGGAACCCACTTGCCTTTTCTTTCTGTGCCTACCATTTTCCCAGGTCATTATGTTAGGTCAGAAATACTATTCACAAAAGGAGCTAAGAGATGAAATTATTGCAGAAAGGAGGGAAAGCCATCAAGGTTAGCTTGTGGAAATACATGTAAAAAAAGTTAGGTCAGCAAATTCAGGAACAATCGTGCAGGTTGTCTAGATCTTCGAGGAGAGAGACATGGCAGGGAAAGAGCGCACAGGCAGTGTGGCCGAACGGTTATTCTTTGATCACCATAAAGGTGAAGGTGGTCAGGAACCTAGAGAGAATCCAGCCAGGTAGAGTTTAATTTCATACGGACTTCAGAAGGCTCTAGTTTTAAGACCCCACTTTATGTTCCTCAAGTTAATGACATTACAATAAAAGAAAAAAACCACATTGCAAATGAGGTGAAAGGTAATGAGAGGTGGCGCTATGCTGTGTGTAATTAGCTCCATCTTGGAGTGAAATCTAGAGAGAAGTTCGGGAGAGGACTGCACCCCAGATGAGGAATAAACCTGTGGGTCTGAGAGAGCTTCTGGGTCCTGCCCAGCCTCCTTCTCTCGCTGACTGGTTTGGGGTCGCTGTTAGATCCTGTATTGTCTCATCCAGCTGCCGTGGTGGCATTGCTTAGCAGGAAGCCCCAGAAACCAAGAGCTCAGAGCTGGGGAAAGTGCCCTCTCCCGGAGTCCGGGATGAGAGTTCAGAGCTTTTTAGGCAGCCATGTACTCTGTCTGATCTCGGTTCCAGCACCTTCCCAGAGAAAAGCAGGCAGCAGCCAGCACTGAGAAGGCCTTTAATGCATTGAAAGAGACCCTTCAGTTGTTTGTTACAAAACATAGGTATTTGAAAATATTTCAGTTCTGTGTTTTCACCAGATGCGCAGCAGTTAGAAATATTACAGCTGACCTTAAACAACAAAGGCGTGAACTGCATGGGCCCCCTATGTGTGCCTTTCCTCTTCCTTATGATGCTTTACCTAGCTTACTTTATTGTGAGGATACAGGATGGAGTGCCTGTAACA